TATACAAAGCACAAACTTCGTTTTTGGTCTTCCCCACCGTACCCTGGCCAGGTGGGCTCCCACAGCCCCAGGGAGGGACAGGGCAGAGGGCAGCAGGATGGGGACAGTGTGCACCAGGCTGGGCCTGAGCTGACCCCAGGGGAATGGTGTCTGCACCGACACTCTGGGAATTATCAGCACCTTAAAGGGTTTATTTGGAAGCGGGGTTGGGGACAGCGGAGTGCCAGCAGCCCCCCGAGCAGGGCAGGAGGTGAAAGCCAGCTCCCCAGGCACCCACTCAGCAGGAGCTGCCGGCGCTGGCGGTCCTCAGCACTGATGGAGATGGGTATTTTCCACCTCTCTTGCCGATGCTGTTGTGGTGGGGACAGGGGGTCTGCGGTACATGGGGAGGGGAGGGGGGCAAGGCTGGTGCCACGTGGGACAGCTGCAGCCCTGGGGACTCGGGAGGACCACCATGTGCTGCCCCAGCCCAGGCTGGCATGGGGACTGCCCCAGGACCCTGCAGCCCATCTCACTGCCAGCCCAAAGCCCAGCTTGCCCAGGGGCTGTGGCAACATTGGCTCAGGCCCCAGCTGTCCCCGGGACATGCAGTCAGCTTGGCCAAGGCAAACTTTGTTTGATTCTTCTTTTTTTTTTCTCTCTCTTTTTTTTTGGAAATAGACTAAAACCCTAGACTTGTTGGTGTTTTTACAACTCCGGTGTGGTTCCTGCCTGTCTGACCGTGTGTCGACCTTTGTAACATTGGCAATAAACCATTAAAGGTGACTTTCCCATGAGCCCTGCCTGTCCTGGCTCTTTGTCCTGTGTGCATGTGTGTGTGTGTGGCAGTAGTGATGCTGGTGGCTCTCCCGGTTAAAGGACCTTGAGCACTCAGGATTTATCCAGATGGCATGGCAGGATGGACTCAGCCACCTCTGTACAGCATGTCCTGGGGGATCCTGGGGTGCTCCAGCCTTGCTTGGGGCAGGGAGCAGACCCTGAGCCTGGGATGGGAGGCTGCTGCCCACCAGGAGGGGTGACCAGAACCAGGGCTGGTCCCCCACTGCTGTGGGGATGTCCAAATGCGGTCGCCTGCCATCTAGCTGTGTTTCACCCCAGCAGAGCCCAGCACAAAGCACACGCTGCCTCCAACCGCTGCATATTGTAGCTTTAGTATGATTTATTTTTATTTTCTTTAATATACATATATATGTATTTAAATATATTTGTTATTTAACAGTTGGTATCAGCCAGACAGGAGCTGCCCATCTCGGACAGGTACGGAGCTATAGGGCAAGATGGTCCCTGACGTGGGGCCTGCCACATCTGCTCGCTCATGCATACACGGGGAGAAACCCCCACTTACTCCGTGGGCACCCACCAGGAGAGGAGCATCAGGGCAAAGGGGTCTCAGGGACAGGCGTGTGCCATCCCCTAGGTGTAGGGCTCCCACTCCAGCGTTGTGCCTCATCCCTGCCTGCAAACACACAGGGCAGGCAGCCAGGGCTCTCCATGTCCCTGCTAGAGCAAAGGGGGTTGGACCAGATGACCTCCAGAGGTCCCTCCAACCTCAACCATTCTGTGTCTCTTGAGATCCATTCTGGGGCTGCCCCAGGTACTTCTGGGCAGGGCAGGGTCTCCTGGTGGGAGGTGCCCTCAACTAGCCCAGGCTCTATGTAAGACAAAGACAGGAACAAGGTTTCTGAACTTGATCTCACCCATGCGCATGTGAGCTCCTGAGCAGCGAAAGTGATGGCTGGTGCCTCAAAGGTCATCCCTGCCTCTGCCCTGCTCACCCTGCAACTCCCCCCACCCTGAGCAAGGGACATGCTGCCATCAGGAGCAGCCTTAGACAGAGCCTGCCCTTCCCTTCAAATATGCAAGGCATCTCAGCCCTCAAGGCTGCCACCACGGTGCCTCATTCCTTCAGGGTCAGGCCCTGCTCTTCACTCGCCACCAAGCTCTCTAGAGATCCTGCTGACTTTGTATAGACTTACAGGAAAAATAAACCCCCAAGACCCACACATAACCTGATCCACAGTGAAACAGAGAAGAAGGAACCACGAAACAGAAGATTCCTCCATAAAGGTTGCAGTAGAGGGCCAAAATGAGTGGCCTGTGGAATGGGTACCCTGCATCCAGGCTTCCCCAACAGGTCCTCTTCTCCCACACAGAAATTTTCTCTGGGTAGAAAGAGGAATTTGTGCATTTGTTGGGGATTTCTGGGTGCTGGGCAGACTGCTGCGCTCATGCAAATGTGATGCATTACAGACCTGATGTGTTGTAGAGTTAAGAGGTGCAGTCAGGTGGAGGAGACAGCACCCTGACAGTGCTGGTCACGCAGCACCCCTGCTCCTGCGCCTGTGGCCAGGCTGCAGTGCCAAGGTCCACTCTGGACTCCGCCCATGGCAACCCTGCCCTGTGTCTAAAAGCACCAACTTATCTCGCCTGAGGAACTTAACCCCTTGGTTAAGTGGCAGTAGCCAGCTGAGAAACTTCTCTCTGCAGTCCAGCTGCTAGGCGGGAGATGGAGAGCAACAGCGAGGAAAGCCAGAACAGGAGATAAAGAGGAGAGAAAACAAGACCAAGAGATGGGGCAGTGCCATATCAGCAGGGACGTGCTGAGAAAGGCTCTCAGGAAGCAATGTGGGGAGCTTTTGCAGGAACCTCTGGCACCTTCCAGGTCCACAAACACCAGACACGTGTGCCCTGGAAAGCTATAAGCAGGACATCTCCCTGGGGGGGATTCCTGAGCTCCTCTTGAGCACCGAGCTGTGACTAGCCTCACTGGTGTGGTCGCACACCTCAGCATAACGGCCAGGAATAAAGGGGCAATGTGAAGGAGGAGGTCAAGGGCCAAAGGAGAGACGTGGTTTTGCAACCCACGAAGACCCAGGAGAAGAGAGGAGCAGGAGGACACGTCACAGCTGCACTGGAGAACTTGCGTCCCTAAAGGCGACCACATAAATCAAGCATGTGGGACGAGATGGGGTGGAAAAGCAAACTTGGAGAGGACTGCTGAGTGTGTACCTCCATCAGCACTAGAAACCAGGTCTGGCCTGTGTTGTCCCTCTCTGAAAATGCCTCTGGCAGCATACTGGCAAGCCAAGCACTGGGAAGGAAGGGGACTCGGGCTGTTATGAATGGCCTGGGTAAGGTTTTACACTGACACCTCTGCGATGCCTAATGGACAGGTGGGTGGGAAGACTGCTGGGAAGCCATCTGCCCCCAACCGCTCCACAGGGTGCTCTGTACACGCTGGGCACCCAGGGTCCTCCGGCCGTGCCAGGCAAGGTCTAATTTGACAACTTCTGCAGAACATGGAAAATAAACCCACGGTAGCCATTCTTTTTGTAAGCTGAAGAGAGAATTAGTTTCTTCATGCATCCGTGCACAGCTCCAAGCAGGAGTACTCATGTAAAAACTGTCATTCCCAGGTCACCTGTAGGGACTGGCACGGTGTGGCACCAAGGTGAAGGACATGGTGGTCCTCTGCATTAGGATGCACAATGCTGCAATGAGCTGAGGTCACTGCTACTCCTTCCTAGTGTGGGCTTGCAGCAAAAAGCCTTCCTGGCCTCTCACTTCGAAGCAGCTCTGGTGCGAATGCCTGGGGCTTCAGCAGCCCCATCCTCCCCAGCCAAGGTGCAAGGGGGAGGGAAAGGTGAGACCCATGTTCACTTGTGCAGAAACGTTACGAGAAACAGAGTGGAAAGGAAGAGGGGAGGGAGCACAGGGCAGACACACACTCTGTCATGACTGGCCCTTTCAAATGCTTTCTGACCAAGAAAGCATCTGCATCGCTGCCCACCACAGCCTGAACTGTCAAGACAGAAGTTTTTCTGGAGACAAGGAGGGTCTGGTCCTTCTGGCACACAAGGAGTGCCAAAGGGCTGCTCAGCGAAGGCCCCCTCCTGCACACCCACCCACACTCACGCATTGCATCCCAACCAGCTCTGCAAAGTGTTTTTTTTTCAGTCTACCCTGAGCAGATTCCTCAAAAGAAGGTGCTTTTCCTGGCAGGGGGAGAGGGTGGGGCTGGGGCAGGGCTGCAGGGACCTGGCAGTCAGCACTCGTTTGCTCTCTCTGGAAAGAAGATTTCACGGCATCGCTGGACTGTATCCTGGGGGGACTGGACGCTGTGTCCCACCGTGCGGGGATCGTCATAGATTTCATAATCGTTCCCTCCCTGCAGGGGAATAGATAATAAGGAAAGGATTAGCAGGGTCTTGCCAGAGCATCCTCATCTGTGAATCTGCATCTTGCTCTGTCCTGTGAGGAGCTGGGGTGGGAGCCAGCGGCTGGGCAGGCAAGGACCTGCTGGGAAGGCACTGTTGGGGCTTTGCTGGCCCAGCGAGGCAGAAGAAGCTGGGCTGGGAGCCCTGCTCCTTCCCTCTTGCCTCCCCTCTTCTGTGCCCAGGAGAGGAGCACAGAAAGGTTGGGGAAGGTCCCAGGCCAGCAAAGCTTGTCCAGGAGCCTGGGGTTAGGCCCTGCCCTTCCTGTAGAGGGGCTAGCAGAAGGTGGGATGGGCACATTTGGGGAGCAGAGGTTATAGTCATCTAGAAGGAGCTGAGTGGATGGCCAAGCTGGTCTACAGCAGCAAGGAAGCATCATCCTCCACCGCTCAAAAGGGAAGGGGAAGCTGTTCCTGCTGTTGAAAAGTCCTCTCCTAAGTGCTGGGGGCTTGTGTTTTGGGTTCCGTGGGCCGCAGGAGTGGCTGTCCCCCTCCCAAGGGTGCCAGGGGGAGGAAAGTGATGCTGAGGTAGACCTGCTCCCCAGCCCAGTGAAGCCAGGGTGATTTTTCCATGGCCCAGCGGGCCTGCCGCCGTCATGAGCCTGCTGCAAACCTGCTCCGTGTAGGCCTGCCGGGCCGAAGGGGGGAAAGTGGCCGTGTGGGTGGCGAGCAGGGCATACTCACAGGGGTCGTCTCGTTCCCAAAGAAGTGGATGGTGTCGAATCTCTCGTCGTCGAGCACGTTGAGGCAGTAGCGCTTGTCCCAGCCCTCCGGGAAGACGTCAAAGCTGATCATGCCACCTGCCAGCAGAAGGGAGGGCATTGGGCTATGCTGGTGGGAGCTGGCAGGATGTCCCCTGCCATGGGAAAGGCAGGAGGAGGGGAGCCCACCCCACCCAAACAGTAGCCAAGGATCAGCTCTGCTTTGGTGTGCCTCTCCAGCATGTGGCTAGGACAGTGGCAGATGCTGTTCCTATGACAACAGGCCGGAGTGACATCAGCATGGCTGGGGTGACATCAGCACAGCTCTCCTGACTGCAGGCAGGCAGGCAAGCAGGAACCATCGGGCTGCAGTGGGGGGTGCTGGGGTGAGAGTCCCAAGAGATGCTTCTGTTGGGGGAGATTTGGGGTCACGCCTTGCAGATAGCATCAGCCTGTTCTGTGTCCCAAGGGGACAATGCCCTCAGAGACCGGCACCACTCTCTCTCTCCTAGGTTCCTGTGTGGATATCACTGGCCCTTCCATAACCACTCCGATGCTCCTTAACCCACCAGGGACCAGGGGCTCCCAGCACCCTGCACACACAGAGCAAACCCCATGCACCACACAGCTCAGGGGTGCCAGCTGGTCACGCTGCAGGCCCCAAGCAGGCTCTGCATGCTGGCCAAGAACTGAGGACCTTGCCGTGGAGCCACCACAAACCCATCAACACAATTGGGGCAAGACCCTGGCCTGTCACCTCTTGCCACAAGAGTCAAGTGTGGGTTGCCAACACCTAGAGGGGCACCAACGCAGACGGGGCAAACGTACAGAGGCAAGGGAGCTTTCCCAGAGAGCATGCATGCACGTGCATATGGACACTTGCAGCCACCAAGGGTTAACAAACTTCCTAGCCCTTGCTCTTAGACCAGGCAGAATTTACCCCAGCATTGGTGCTGCCTTTTGGGGGTGCTTGGAGGCAGCACCTCCCCCATCCTCTTGAGCTGTCCCGTTGCATGCACAGGCTGCAGAGCCAGACCCTTGTCCCAGCACTGACATAGGTGACATGTTCCTCCCAAAGCCTGCAACTTAGGGCACATGTATGTTTGGGTCTCGCTCAGAGCTGGGAGGAACGGGGATTTGGTTTCAACAGGACCCCTTGCTTCTCCAGGCAATCTACTGGGCTACCAGCAATGCTGGAGGTTCACGCTCTCCTTCTTCATAAATCATAACCTCACGTCTCTTAGGAATGGGGGTGAGTAGACACGTACCCTCAGGGGATGGTCCTGGCTGGAGGAGAGGCACTGATCCCCTGAGCTCCAGCTGGAGGAGAGGCACTGATCCCACTGGCTGTTCAAACATGCATGTCCTGATGCCATGCTCCTCTCCTCCCTAGCTGCTTGAGGTGTCCCTGTTGGCTTGGGGATCCCAAAACCAGCCCTCCGTGAAGCCTGAGGAGCCTGAGGATGGAGCCTGTGTGTTCAACTTGGGGCAGAGGATTCACTGCTGGACAGGATGCCCCGGGCAGGGCCCTGTGATACTGACGGGAGCAAGTACCCTATGAGCTCAGGGATCGGGATGTCCACAAGCTCACAGCAGGAACCAGCATCGGAACAGGAGCTAAACTCAGTCGACCCCATTAAAATCCTTCCTGGTTTTGCATCTAAAGCCATTTACCTGTGAAAACCACTGCATTTCACTGCGTTCTGGCCTTTTAAACAGAGCTGGGCAGAAAGAAGCGGCTCCTGATTCCAGCTGGAGAGGGTAGGAAATCAAAGGGAGAAGAGGTGGTGTGGAGGACAGCCAGCACTGCCCCTTGCCTAGGCAGAGCATGGGTCTGGGGGGGCTGCAGGGAGATCTCCTACCACCTCTGGGGCTTGTGTCCTCCACAGCCTGGGACAAGGCACATAGAGACAGCTTGGCAGAAGAGCCCCGTTTCCGCATGTCCCTGGTTTTGGATGCCTGACCTGAGACACCCCGCGTTTTCTTTGTGGAGGAGCGGGGGGCCCACAGCTCCCCTTGTCTTCATGCTTTTACACAACAGGCCCCGGCTCTTCATGGCAGCTTCCCAAAGTCAGAGGAGAAAGGCCCATTGTTCTGCTCTTGTCCCCTGTGCCTGCGGGGACACGGCGGTGGGGACCTTGTCTTTCTCTGCTGCGACAAATGGTGTGTGTCAGTGCTGTGGGCAGCACAGGATGCCCCTGGTGGGACGCTGAAGGCAAGGGGATACTCTCAGGAGGAAAGCCCTTGGAGGACCAGACCCTCAGTACTGGCCCACACTGGGTGCAAGAGTGGGGTGTCCCCTGCCGCCTCCCAGACTTGTCACCCCCTTGTCTTTTGGCTAGGCTACCACATGGCATCTTCCTCTCTCATACATAGCCACCGCTCTGCTCCATCCCCATCACTTACCCGCCCTCATTTTCCTCCCTGTCCTGGCCAGAAGCTCAGGATTGCTCAAGCCCCTCCTTTGGTTCCTCGCCTTCGGTAAGCTGTAAGAGCCTACCTCCACCCCATGAAGTGGCCCTGCAGAAGACCATGGCATGGAGCTGCAAACTCCCTGACTCTTGGCAGCTCTTCCTCCATGAAGAAAGATGTTTACCTCGTGGCCAACCTTCCCAACAAAACCCCACAGCTGAGACACACATGAGGCTCCTTTCTCCCTTACACCACGGCATTCCCAGAGAGGACTGCATGTGCCTGGAGCTCTGCTGGCCACCTTGCTGCTGACACTTGAGCCAGGACAGACCTCCTGGCCAGGAATGGGCTCCAAAGAGCTGACTGGAATTAAGGCAAGGATAACGTCACAGGACAGAAACCCGCCTGTCTGGATGATTCCCAGGGAGGCAAATCTGCAACACGGTTTATTGTCTGCCGTCACCCTGCTGTGAATGCCAACGTGATGCCCCCACGGTGGCTCTCCAGGAACAGAAGCTCCTTGTGCTCTTACCGGGATCTACAGGCCTCCGGAGGGAACAGCCAGGATTCCCGCTCCCCTTCCCAGCTTTTTACGAGAAACACGATAAAGAGGCCAGGGCAAAGCCCTCTCCGCTCACCTCGAGAGAAACGCAGGCCTTTGCCAGCAAATTCCCTCTGCAAGGCTGCCACAAACTTCTCCCGGATCCGCTCTTTCTGCAGAGGAGAAGGAGGAAAGGGAAGGAAGGAGGGTTTGAATAATTGGGTGTTGAGAGTCTTCCAAAAGCCACCATATAGCTATCTGCTGGGCAACTCGGGCTTATCGCATTCCCCCTTCCCACCTTGACCCCAGTATAACGCCATTCATCCAGCTTTCACCCAGGGTCCTGCTCAGGGTCTGTGTAAAAAGCCAGCAGCTCAGGGCAGCTCCAGGAGACTCCTGGGAAAAGCAGATCCCAGCCCTTCCTTGCCAATGAAATGCAACTGCTTCAATTTCCCCAAAGCCCAGTTCATAACCCAAACTCTCCAGCTTTGCATAAAAAGTCTTGCAAAGTTTTGAAAAGTCTCTCAACCCCAAGACTCCCCTCTCTCAGGCAGAAACTGCCTGGGGGATGGGGCAAGTGCTCCAGAGATCTGCCCAGCAGATACGCTGTGGCCCTCCCAGTCTGGAAGGCCCATTAGTTCCAGCTCTGTTGGGGCCAGGGAGAG